AAAAATCAACTGTTTCGAAAGAATTTTCACTAACGTTACAATATGCCATACATATAACATAAAGGTATTTAGAGATTTATTCAACAAATATATGCAGCAAAATAGTATTTTGATATATGAACTGATAATTTTTCTTCCTCTAGTCCTGGATGGTGTGGCTCAGTTAGTAGGAGCACTGTCCAGTTAGTAGGAATATTGTCCTGCTCGCTGAGAGGTTGTGGGTTTGATCCCCAGGGCACATATCTAGGTGGAACATGTGTGGGAGGCAACCAGTCAATGTTTCTCTCTCACACTGATGTTTCTCTGTCTCTGTCTCTCCTCTCCCCTCTTTAAAATCAACAAAAATGCCCTCAGGAGAGGATTTTCACCCTGTTTTTCCCCTTTCTTTCCTAACATTCAAGCAGAAGCAGGCTCCAGGCTTCCTTGCCTAGGAGAGGTTCATGGCAAGGTAGCTTTCTGATTTTTGTTTTCTCAAACACCTAAATTCTAGGACCACAGATTCTCAGGGGGACTGCCCAATTATACTGTTCAGAAAAACAAGGAAGAACTGGTTTTTCTCTCTGCAGGGTAGAAAGGAAGTCCCCAGAAATGAAGGAAGAAGAAAAAGGTCCTGAGAGAGTTCTCAGACCCACTGCTGAGAGGAACAGCTGTGAGTGTAGCTATCACATAGGCACCCTTGGCCCAGATTCTCAACCCTAAGTCTGGCACAGGCAGTTCAGAATCACTAAACCATAATCCTATATAATAAAAGCCCAATATGCAAATTGTCCCCTCAAATGGGAGTTTGATTGCTTGCTATGATGTGTACTGACCACTAGGGGGCAGCGTGGAACATGGCCGGTGGCTGTGGGGGCGCTGCCAGCCCCAATGAGAGTGGAACCATAGTGGGATGGTGGAGCAGGTGAGCGGGCAATGCCAGGCCAAGGCGGGTGTGAGTGGAGGCCCGATCTCCCTGCAGAAGGCGACTGATGGCTGCGGGGGTGGGCGGGGCCGCCTCCCCACTCCCAGGTGCTGAGGGAGCCAGGAGGGGGCCAGGGGGGCAGCGAGACCCACACTTGATCACCCTGCAGATGGGATGGGGCAGCGGGTTAAGGGTTGGCACCAGGTCACCTGAGGGACCCCACCCATGCACAAATTCATGCACTGGGCCTCTAGTCACTTATAAGCACAGGAACAATATGGAAACATCTGACCAAACATCCAATGGGATACCCCTCACTCACTTCCCCTAGGGGCATATCCTGAATGTCTGTGTGCCATGCTATCTAGAACAGCGTTTTTCAACCACTGTTCCGCGGCACACTAGTGTGCCGCGAGATGTTGCCTGGTGTGCCGTAGGTGCAGACAAGACAAGAATTTTATAATTTTTCACTATTTTGTTTACTTAATATTTCATAATAAAGTAATTATAAAATACTTCCTTTGTGTTTATTTGATTCCTATTCAAGAGAATTACTTTATATTTAGTCAATATAGGCACAGAGTTAAATTTTTTAACATTTTCTAATGGTGGTGTGCCTCGTGATTTTTTTCATGAAACAAGTGTGCCTTTGTCCAAAAAAGGTTGAAAAACACTGATCTAGGCATTACCCTGATACTATGGCATATCCTGAACAAGAGGCCATGATGAAACCCAAGTATTAAGGTTATGTTTTTTTCCCCGCCAGCAAGACAAAATGGCAACTCAGAATGAGAAATTAGGTTTCTAGGGAACAGTGATATATGTCGTATGCTTGGTTCTATGGACTGTCATTTATACCTGCCACAAAAATATTAAGAATCTACCACACACAGGAATCCTGCCAGGCTAACGTGGAGTGGGAAACGGAACAGTCATGGTTAGCCAAGGCATTTGTAATCTGGCAAGAGCAAACATGAATAAGGATAGCTGCCATTAATCACACACACTTGCACCCGGCCGGTGTGGCTCAGTGGTTCAGTGTCAACCTATGAACCAGGAGGTCACAGTTCAATTCCAGGCAGGGCACAGGCTGGAGATGTGGGGTTGATCCCTAGCAGGGGGTGTGCAGGAGGCAGCTGATCAATGTTTCTAACTCATCACTGATGTTTCTATCTCTCTCTCCTCCCTTCCTCTGAAATCAGTAGAAATATATGTTTTTAAATTATACACACTTGTGTGCACAGCTTGTGCTACACTCTGTAGATGGCTCACATTTAATGGGATCTGCCTCACCAAACGGGGCTCCCAGGTTCAGAGAAGGCCAGGGCTTGGCTAAGGATGCTCACTAGTAAGGGTAGGACTTGGCTGGGAACCATGGTGCACCTCACTCCAAGTCCATTCTCACTTTGAAGTGATGACCCTCCATGGAGGCCAGACTGAGTGCTGTTCTTTGATAACCCGACATCCATCGGACCTAGGCTTTGGCTCATGTCCCTGAGTTGGGAGGGCTTAGGTCAAACCAATCTTCTCGAACTTGCTGTTCAATGCATTCGTGGGCAGAGGACTGGCCAGGACCCAAGGCTGGACAGGAGACACTGGCCAAACTGTCTCTTATGCTGTTGGGATTCAGACTTGCTGTATCAGGTGTGTTTTGCCTAGTCCAGATTTTTATTTCCATTAACACCATCTTTATGTCCAGCAAAGAAGTGACACATCTGCTTTTGGGCAGAAATCTCCACTTTTCTATTTATGTGCAAAAGGAAGAATTTGGTTATCTGCAAACAGAATTGTTTTTAATAGGGAAAAACCTCATAGAGCTGTTTTGCTTTGAGATGTAGGCTCTTAACTTGGTGCCTAAGAAACTATTTTACATTCTTGTCTGAAGCTTCCTAAAAACAATCAAAGGAGAATAAGTTGATTCTGGTAGTGAAATATTAACAGCTTTTCCTTAAGTATTAATCTACTGAACAAACGTTGAGAATGAAAGAAGCTGGCATATTAATGTTGTGAGAGCCATGACTTACATTTTCTATTGCTGCTTCTGTTATCTGATCCTGGAAAAATGACCAAAACAAATTTAAAACCCCAAAGGGAAATATAATGAGCCATAGAGAGAAGTAAAAACACTGAGAAATCTAACGTATCAGGGAACCATTGAATGTGCAGCTTCTCATATGCAAGCTGGCCTCCGGAGCTGAGGGCCCGGCCTGCAGGATCGGTCAGTCCAATGACCTTTTGTTACGTTTGAGATCCCAGGAGGCGAAGTGACTTGTCCGATGTCATGTGTTCATTAGCATGCATAATATTATAGTTCCACTAAACGGAAAGGTACTGACCTAGGGGTGAGAAGACTGCTGCTACTGTTTTTGAAAATCCTTCCCTCTCTGAAGGGACTGTAACTCTGAACATGAACATCAGTCGTTTTTGTTGTTTTTAGAAACTCCGAAACTTGCTTTGCAGTTATAATGAAGAGGCAATATGCATGGAGTTAGGAGTGTGGGCCCTAGGCCAGCCGGCCGCCTCACAACCCCCCCTCTCCCGGCAGCAGCCTGAACAGTGTCACTCTCTGCCTCTGCAATGGGGTGAGCAGAGCCCTGCGCTGCCCCTCACGGCGTTAGATGCAGTAATACGTCCCGGACTCAGCGCCGGCGGTACAGAGGCCGTGCCAGGGAGCGGAGAGGCCGGCTGGCAGCATCGGAGCACAAAGTACCCGAGCGGGGTCTGTGGGCTCAGAAGGCATCCCTTCTCTGGACAGAAGCATCCCGAGCGCCAAGGCAGGCGGATCTCAGTCTCGTGGCTGAGTCCCGCTTTCAACAAGAGAAACCATTTCCCAACCTCTGTCTTTGAGGCTCCAGGGCTGCATGGAGGGCAGGCACCCTTCCGCTCTCCTTTCTTTCCCTCATTTCTGCCGGACTGCAGAAGCAATGGCCGGGTGCCAGCACCTCCGGTCATGTGGGGGGCTAACACTTCCACCCGCTCAGTTCTGGACCCGATAGTTCAATGTCAGCAATCAGTGCTCTCCAGGCTTATTTCATGAGAAAAATAAACTTAATCATTAATAAACATTTTTAGCTACGATTATCAAAATGCAATCCTATCCCAAATACCCTCTAAAACTGATTTCTCTTTCCTGTCAATAAATATTTGTAGACCTGCCCAGGCGGCCACTTGCCCCAGCCACTTAGAGGTGCTAGGTGAGACCGTTACCGGCTGTCACTGACACTTCTGCAGAATGTCCACACTGCCCTCCAGGTCCTCGCCGCTCAGTGTGCCTGTGGGCCCCAGCGTGGTTGTCGGAGGAGCGGGTGGAAAGGCAGGGCCCCGCTGCACAGACCGGAGTCTGCGGTGCGGGAAGCTGTGTGGCCGGGCAGTGCCCACCCCAGTGCTCGCCATGCAGAGCAGAACGGCGGTAAGTGAAGTCCCAGGCCTAGTTCTGCCCTCACTGGCGGCATTCGGGGTGCAGTGGAACAGGAAGCAGACATGGTCCCTTGCCTTCATGGAGCTTAGAGACTGGTTGAAAGGTAAGACTTTCAAAATACACTAAAACATATAATGGTAAATGATAGTGCTATGAAGGAAATGAATGGGCAGTGTACAGAGGAGGACAGACTGGTCACAAGGACGGCTCAGCCCTGGCCCGTGGCTCAGTGGTTAGAGCCTCGCCCACCGCCCTGGACCAGTGAGGTCAGACCCAGCGAGATCAACCTCAGCGCGCGGCTCCCCGGCTCGGGCACGCAGGGGTTCCGCTCGGAACCCTCCGCCATCACCGTGAGCACCGCTGTGGCCTCCAGCCAGCGCCCGGCCGACCTGCGCCCCGCGGCGGCGCTCACCACCATTCGCTCTCAGCGGAAGCTCATCCCGGACCCTCCGGACCCGGAGGCCTCCGACCGGCCGGCCGGGCAGCCGCCGCCCCACCCCGCGCGGCAGCCGAGACCCCCGGGGTCTGCCGCCGCGGACCGTTACCTGCGCCGAACGCCGGCCGCCCCGCGCGTCCCGGCCGCTCCTCCCGCGGCTCCGGCCCCGCGGCGCCACCAGCCCGGCGGCGGCGGCGGCGGCGGCTGCGCCCGGGAGGGAGGGGGCGCGGCGGCGGCGGGGGCAGAGCCGGGAGGCGCGGCGGCGGCGGCGGCGGGAGCGGCGGCGGCGGCGGCGGCGGGGCCTGTCCGCGCGGAGCCGCGGAGCCGGCGCCCTAGGCGCGGGGAGCGGCCGTCCTCCCGCGCGGCGCTCCCGAGATGGCGGCGGCGGCGGGGCGGCGCGGGGGGCCCGGGCGGCGCCAGCGCGGCGCGGGCTGAGCCGGGCCGGCAGCGCGCGGGGCCGCGCCGCGGGGACTCCGGGAACCGGCCGGCGGGGCGCGAGGCGGCGGAGGCCGCGATGGCGAACGCCAGCGAGCCGGGCGGCGGCGGCGGCGGCGGCGGCGAGGCGGCCGCGCTGGGCGTGAAGCTGGCGGCGCTGAGCCTGCTGCTGTGCGTGAGCCTGGCGGGCAACGTGCTGTTCGCGCTGCTCATCGTGCGGGAGCGCAGCCTGCACCGCGCGCCCTACTACCTGCTGCTCGACCTGAGCCTGGCGGACGGGCTGCGCGCGCTCGCCTGCCTGCCGGCCGTGATGCTGGCGGCGCGGCGCGCGGCGGCCGCGGGGGCCCCGCCGGGCGCGCTGGGCTGCAAGCTGCTGGCCTTCCTGGCCGCGCTCTTCTGCTTCCACGCCGCCTTCCTGCTGCTCGGCGTGGGCGTCACCCGCTACCTGGCCATCGCGCACCACCGCTTCTACGCCGAGCGCCTGGCCGGCTGGCCGTGCGCCGCCATGCTGGTGTGCGCCGCCTGGGCGCTGGCGCTGGCCGCCGCCTTCCCGCCGGTGCTGGACGGCGGCCCCGAGGGCGAGCACGCGCCCTGCGCCCTGGAGCAGCGGCCCGACGGCGCGCCCGGCGCGCTGGGCTTCCTGCTGCTGCTGGCCGCCGTGGTGGGCGCCACGCACCTGGTCTACCTGCGCCTGCTCCTCTTCATCCACGACCGCCGCAAGATGCGGCCCGCGCGCCTGCCGCCCGCCGTCAGCCGCGACTGGACCTTCCACGGCCCCGGCGCCACGGGCCAGGCGGCCGCCAACTGGACGGCGGGCTTCGGCCGCGGCCCCACGCCGCCCGCGCTCGTGGGCATCCGGCCCGCGGGGCCCGGCCGCGGCGCGCGCCGCCTGCTCGTGCTGGAGGAGTTCAAGACGGAGAAGCGGCTGTGCCGGATGTTCTACGCAGTCACGCTGCTCTTCCTGCTGCTCTGGGGGCCCTACGTGGTGGCCAGCTACCTGCGCGTGCTGGTGCGGCCGGGCGCCGTGCCGCAGGCCTACCTGACGGCCTCCGTGTGGCTCACCTTCGCGCAGGCCGGCATCAACCCCGTGGTGTGCTTCCTCTTCAACCGGGAGCTGCGGGACTGCTTCCGGGCCCAGTTCCCCTGCTGCCCGGGCCCCCGCGCCCCGCAGGCCGCCCTCCCCTGCGACCTGAAAGGCATTGGTCTGTGAGGGCTCCGCCTCGGACCCGCCAGCCCTCCCCGTGGCCTGGACTCGGATGCGGCTCTTGCTCGCTGCGCCCTCTTAACGGTCTCACTGCCTTCACAGGACGAGCACCCGCACCCGGAGCGTGCAGACTCCTTCAGGGGAGAGGGTTTCCATCTCCAGCCCACCCTCCTCCGCTCGTGGTTCTCCTAAATATCTATTTTCATCTGGACAATGGGCCCGCGGTCTTTGTATTGGTACTGATGTCTTCTACTCCATGCTATTACTTTTGAAAATAAAGGCTAAACTAATTTTCCTCATGCAACGTTTCCTAAAGACCAGGCCAGTTTTCTACAGAAGCTATTTTTGACAACCTCAAGTGGCATTACCCTTTGCAGTGGAGAAAAGGAACCCAGGGCACTTCGAAAGCTCCGTTTCCTGAGGGTCTTCTGTTGGAAGCCAGAAGGGGGTGGGGTGGGGCGGGGAATTGTCAGCCTTGGAGAGAGCTCTGGTTCTCTGAAAGTGTGGAGAACTCTGTTCGGTGTTGAAATGAATGTAAATAGCGGCAACCGAGTGGCTAGCAAGGCAGTTGCACGGGGGCAGGGAGGAGGGACTGGTTTCCTGTTGCTGTGTCCGCCTAGAAAGTGCAGCCGGTGACAGCTGCCCTCTGCATGGTACCAATCTTGGCTGGAAATATTTCTGTGGAACTGTAGCTTTCAAAAGTTAAAAGGTGTTTTGGTTAGTGACGGTGGAGAAAATACAGTATTGCATGTTTCTGTGTGTGCTGCTGTGGTTCACTGATGGGGCAGGGGCTCCAAGAAGCAGAGTATAAATCAAAATTGTTTGGCTATTTTTTTTGCCAATAAAAATTAAAACAATTTTATGGAAACAGCTTGTGCTTTGAGGAGTCCAGTTTTATTCTGGCTTATGAATTTCCACTTTGAAAATTGTTCTTTTGTTCCTGGTATAAATGAATGGCATATAATGATACTCTACTTCTAGGAGACACATGTTTCCTGAAAATGTTTGCTAGGTTAAGCTGTGCTGTTCTACTGACAGTTATTTTAAAGTACTAATGAGAACTATAATTTTAAATAGTATTTCTTTGTTAGACACATTGTAATCTTATATTGAAAGACTAAATTCTGCAAGTACTATATAATTTTGCTTATAATGCTCCATTTTTATTAATGTTCCTTCTGTGTTGAGGATTTATATCTGTATTTCTCTTTGCATTATACAAATATATGAGTATTTTCACTCTGGAGTATTCTGTTGTTGTGTGAGGCTGTGACTGGTACTAACAGACATCTCAGAATGGTACTCATGTCTGATGGCCTTAGTGAGTGTCCTAGTTGACCATCAACATCTGTAGCATCTGGAGGGCTGTCACTTAAAATGCACGAAAATCTGCAAATCTCTTTAAGGGGAAGAAGCAGTGGACATACTTATAAAACGTGAGCAAAGTCATACTTTTAATTAAAATTGCATGTAGTAAATATGTTGAAATTTATTTTAGTTGAGCATCATATGAACTATTAAATGTTTGTTCCAAAAGGGATGTCATAAAAGGGTATAGCCACTTTAATCTACCTTTGGTAAATGGTCAGCATTGTTTTATTTTGTGAAAGTCAGTTAGTCTGTGCAGACAGTCTCATGCTTGGGAAATCTGGATAACGCTTACCTATTCCTCCCCAGGCCCTAAGACCCAGCGGTGTTAACCATGCAGGACAGTCATCAGAAACCTCGCCCACCTGAAGACAGCGGCCGGGAAAGCCACTCTCCCCTCCTCCGCGCCCCCCCCCCCCCCCAGCTGGTCCAAGTTCACACACTGGACGCCAGTGAGCCTGCGTGACATTTAGAATATCGAGCGCCGGGCATGCACAGGGCACAGGCCGCACAGCCCTGCCTGGCAGCAGCCCGACAGAGGCAGCCTGCGGGCTCTGTGTGGCCTCGAGCTGACGGGCATTTTTACAGGAGCGTCTGTATGACAGCGATTCTCACATTTTAACACAGAATCCGAGTCCCTGCTTGTGGGCTGAGTGGTTCTGTTAGGGAGGATTGGGGTGGAACCAGGAGAGCGTTTTTGCCAAGTTCCCCGGAGGCTGGAGGCAGCCCTCCAGCCCTTGTTCACACAAGACTTCCTTTAGCCAGCCTGTGGACACCCCCGGTTGTCTGGTTTGGTTTTATTCTGGTTAGAGGGGCGATCCCAGTGAGAGGGGCCGGGCAGAGAGACGCAGTGGTGGCAGGGAGGAGAGAAGGGACAGAGAGAAGGGGCGCCTCTCCAGGGGAAGGCAGAGCCCTCAGCGGCTTCGTGAGTCAATGAGTCTGTTCCCAGGACTTTCGAGTGTGAACCTCAATGAAAAGCATCAGGCAGGGGCCTGTGTGCTTAGAATACTCCTCATCGCACCCAGCAGGTCCGCTTGGACGCTGTCTGTGGTTTGGGAAGTCAGTGCAGCGCCCCTCGCCCGCCCGCCAGGTGAGGAGGGTCCCTGCCTGAGGCCAAGAACAGATGTCTTGCACATCGGTCCAGGCATGTCCTGGAGAGGATTTATTGAGGCAAAAATGAACATTTTGGGTCTATTGATCACTTAAATGTCTTTCCAAAAAGATCATGTCTGTTTACATTTCCACCTATGTGCATTTTTTTAAGAAAATGAAATACCTCAAGCAAAACTGGGAAGCATACAACAAATCAGTAACCATGGTGACGAGCAGGCTCTCTGAGCCACTCTCCTGCCTTTCAAAGTCTGCTGCCACATTCGTTTTACTTTTCTCTTGCTCGTTTTCCTTTCCTTTATATTTTTCTTTCCTCCCTCTCTTATTCCCTCTCGCCTTCCTTCCCTTCATCCTTCCTGTGTTTTCTCCCTCCATTTATTTTTCCTATTTGAAAAAAAAGAAATAAAACAGTTACTCCTGCCAAGTCTTTGGTCTCACCATCAGGCTTCTACATTCTCAAGTGTCCTGCCCTTAAGATGTGCCTGGTCCGGGTGCCAGGGCTGGATCAGGGGTTAGTTTTGCAGGTGCCCCTCCGAGGTGGGGGGGCTGGTCCCCCCGTGCGGCCGCAGAATGCCCGTCATGCTCTGGCCCCATCCGCACTGGTGTCTGCATCTCTCTTTCCTGGTTGCATTCGCTCTCCAGGAAAGCCCATGCGCCTTCCCTGCCTGGACTCCGTCCGGGGCGGAGGCAGTCCTCACCACAGTCCATGACTGACATGGCACGGGCGGAACTCACCTGCACAGCCGTGTGCCGGGCCCGGGCTGAACACCAGTCTGTCCTGGACTCAGATTCACGGCTCTGGACGTCCTTCTCCGCCCGGTCTCCCTCCCTGGGCTCTCATGGCACACTGAGTTTATCTCCACCCATCTCAGGGCCTGCCATCTGCCCGCTCCCTCTCCGTCCTACGTTATCCGCTCCCTCCTCAGGTCTGCACTGCAGCTGCTGCAGCTCACCGGCCATGCCCTGATCAAGTCACACTGTGCTGCACCACCATGCCTTCCATTTATTGTTTCTTGTGTTCAAAGTCTTCACTCCCTTTCCCAGCTCACCTGCCGTTCAGCTTTCCGGGTGGCACTTGTAGCCAGTTACTGAGCAGGCCCTGCAGGCGGGGATGGTATTCCCACGCAGACCCTGCAGACATCCCTCGGTTTCAGATTTAGTCACTAGAAGTGTGTGCATGGAGGGTGGGTCTCACACTGTGGTCTGGGTGGCTTTTTAAGTGGTTTGTGCACTGACATGGCTGGTGTGACCAAACGCAGTGGATGCCAAACAGTGTTGTTCTCAGCACACACCACTGAGCCTGGCTCAGCACCACGGCCTGCAGGACGCTCTCTGTGAGGGGCACAGGATGACACACCACGTTTCAGACCCAACGCCACGGCCTCTGTATGGCTTATCAACTGCTCCTGGAGTAAACCGAGTAAAAACAAACTTGGTCTGAGTTCAAGGGGTTCTTTATGCTTTTTCTCCAACGTGGGCAAGACTTTGGGGTCTGACCCAGACCGTGCAGTGAGCCCTTTTGCCCTCCCTCTTCTTCCCCTTCCGGGTGTTGTGAGGATGTGGTGCGGGCCACAGCCGCTGTCCTGCAGCTATGAGAGGAGATGCTGTTAATGCAGGAAAGACAGCAGATCAGAGGACAGAAAGAGCCGCAACCCCGTTAACACCGCCGAGCGGCCTAACAAGACGGAACTGCTATGTCCAGACTGCTGGTTGTGAAGTAACATCTACTATGGCTTCCCAAGCTAACACTCAGGGGACCTGTCATTAAAGCAACCATTAGCCGCAACATCACTTACAACTGCCCCATCCCCTCCACTCTGATAGGTGTGCTTGATATTCTGGAACCATAGTCACACATTTTTAATTTTTTTAAAAAATATATTTGATTGATTTTTTACAGAGAGGAAGAGAGAGGGATAGAGAGAAACATCAACTAGTTGCCTCTTGCACACCCCCTACTGGGGATGTGCCCGCAACCAATGTACATGCCCCTGACCGGAATCGAACCTGGGACCCTTCAGTCCGCAGACCGACGCTCTACCACTGAGCCAAACCGGTTTCGGCTGTAGTCACACATTTTTAAAAATTAGACTTACTTAATTTACTTTCTCCAACTCTCAGGTCATTCAGTCTGCTACTAACCATTGCACTAGCCTGGCGCTGGATGCACCAGCTAGCTATGACTTGATTTCTTCGATTGAACTAAGTCTGAATGATTAAAAATTGCACTTTGTAAACTTTTTGATATCATGAGACCAGCTGCACTGATTTGGAAAACTCTCTGAACGGACCCAGGTGATCAGTAGGCATTGCAAGCCCGAGCGGGCAGCATCTCTGTGGGCAGCGCAGGCGCAGGGTGAGGACGCCCAGTCGCCTTGCCAAGGTGTTAGCGAGCTCATGGGAGAAGTCAGCCTGCGGGCCCCAAACCATAAAGCAAGGCAGAAGGTGACGGAGGCGGGAAGAGGGTTAGATGAGGAGCTGGGTGAGGAGACCAGACACCTCAGTAGATTGAGAAGTGCCAGGTTCTCTCTGCTTCGCCCGCCGAGAGAAGCAGGGAAAGCAGAGGCGTCTCTCTGACTCCCCTGTTCTCTCCCTGCCAGACCCATTTTTAAATGGATTCCTCTAAGTGAAATAAAAGCACATAATTTTCTCTTCAAAGTGCTCTGGTCCACTTCTATTTGAGTGTTCAGTGCTGGCAAGAAAAGGTTCGTTCTAATGGAGGAAGTTTTTTTACATAAAATCTTGGTAGGGAAGAGCCAGCACAGACGCGATTGGTTGGAAATGTTATAACAGCATAGAAAGCAAGCAGGAGCCAGCCCCC